ATTTGAGGGAGGCCTGTATCATCATCATCAAATAAAACCTTTAAAATCCACATTTAGATGGAGTTTGTTTTAAACCTACTATCCTCCATCTGTTTGCATTTGTAGATTTCTTCTCAATTCACCAATTTAGATTTCTAAATTTCAAGGGGAAAGACTCTTGATGTAGGGGAGCGCGGGGCACAACCTAACGCGGGGTTAAATGTAACACGGACCTTTTACATAGTTAGTCAGGATCAAGCAGGTTGTGTTTCCGCTCTTTTTCTCTCGCTGCCAGAAGACGGTCTCCCGCGAATTTGTGGAAAGTTTTGATAATATTTCGTGAAGATACTGGACAAAGAGTGTTTTGACACCATGCAAGTAATTTTTTTCATCATAGGTTTTTTTCGGTTTCTGAGTTGGGTGTGTACGTTTCCAAATCTAACGTTATATTGCCTTAATCACTGTCTTGTTGGCTAAAACATAACACCGTTTTGAAACATGTCAGCAACTCCTAGCAAGTGTTAGCTAGGCTTAAAATATGTTTTACACAGCGGGGTTAGTTGTAGCGCAGTGTTACTAAGCCGCCAAGTGAACAATGATAATCAAATGAAAACAGGGAGCCACGCAACTTTTCAGGTTTGAGTATTTATATATTTGGACTTTCACAAACAATGTTGGAATTTTTTATTTATTTTTTATTTAGTTTACTATGCATTGATCACTTGTTTATTTATTAAAAATATAGCCTTTTTTAATGCAATAAGCCCTTTAAATTTTTATTTTAAGCTAATTGTTATTATTATTACTGTTATTATTATTAATAATAATAATTTTGCATGCAGCTGCCACACACAAATGTAATTCAACTGCAATTGCAATATTTGATGATTTTATTTACTTATTTATTTATTGCAAAATTGTGCAGCCCTTTCCTATATCTCTATCCATGATATTGATTCATAATAGAAGGATGATTGGATGAGGAATGGATGTATGGATATCTATCTATACAGATGCACAAACAATATCAAACTATACAGATAAAATAGTACTGAATTATGTGTTACACACAAGTGTTACAACTAACCCCTCTGTCTGTTACAATTAACCCCGCATATGGGGTAAGTTGTAACATTTGCACTTCTGTCACTTTCAGTGCAACTGTACGAAAATGGAAGGCCCTAGAAAAAAACTTTAAGTGTTCATTTGTAGCAGATATGTGTATGTTGCTTGTGTAAAAAAAAAGTTAAATCTAACTTAATTCTTTTTTAAATGGAAGGCCCTAGAAAAAAACTTTAAGTGTTCATTTGTAGCAGATATGTGTATGTTGCTTGTGTAAAAAAAAAGTTAAATCTAACTTAATTCTTTTTTAAATAATTGAGCCAAAACCAAAATGTGTTAGGTTGTGCCCCGCTCTCCCCTATATATATATGTATATATATATAATGTCTGTCAGAAACCAATCAGAGTCCACATCTCACACCACACAACGATCACTCTCTCCTGAGTTCTAATCACCTGCACCTGTTCCCAATCAGTTCACATTCAACCAGTTCGCATTCAATCTTTGTCAAGTCTCCAACAGGAACAGATGCTTTACCACTGTTTCACGAAGTCTCTGATACAACCTGTCCTCGTCACGTAACGTATACTCACCTGAATTATACTAACCTCTGTGTCCTTGTTCTGATGTTCCTAGAAGCTTCAACTGTATCCGGGTCTCCTGAGTCCTTGTATTCCTCCTGAGTTCCACTCGCTCACAGCTGTATCTGAAAGAGAAAAGACAAATCATCACTGAACTGTGTTAGTTTATCATTAGATAAACTGAAGAGGATCTGCTCACCTGGAATCCTTCCCGCACAGTAATCTTCACCGAATTCACCTCTGAACTTTGAATATTCTCGCCTTTGAACTTGAAGCACTGAAATAAAGCTTTATGTTGATTCACTTACCTCAGACTCCGAGCCTGTATCCTGACAGAAGACTTGACCAAAACCAAAAGAGGTGAAGAAAATGGATTCCATGCGAACCTCAGACACAGATACAAACTCTATTCAACCTACCGCCGCTGCAACAAATTCCATACAAGTCCCAGCTGCCCCGGCGAACCCAGTGCTACCCCCAGCCAGCGCTTCCGTAAACTCCGCTCCCTCTATTGCCTGCTTCGCTAGTCCACAGTCGCGCCCAGCGCCATCTCCGGTCGGGCGGAGGATTGCAACGGATTCTTATTGCAATGTTCACTTGCGTTGGAACAACAAGCCCAACTATCCCACCGAGCGATCGAAAGTCGCTTTCATTATCTAACAATTATCCGGAGCAGCTTTGAGATGGGCTGAGGCATTGTGGATGCAGGAATCCACTGTGATGACATCTGTTTAGGAATTTGTAAAACACTTCAAAGAAGTTTTCGGACGTCCAACTGAAGATTCCTCTGTCGGTGATCAATTGTTGCAGTTGCGTCAAGGAAAGAAGACAGTTTCTGAGTATTCTTTAGAATTTCGCACTCTAGCCTCCAACAGTGGGTGGAATGAAAGGGCGCTCATCTCAGTTTATCGCCGTGGGTTGAATCCTGCCCTGCGTCTTCAATTGGCGATTTATGATGACACCCTGGGAATAGATAAATTCATCCAGCAGGCTATTCGTGTGCAGCAAAGATCTCAGAACTGTTACCAAGATACTATGCTATGTCACTCTTCTTCTCCTCAAGTTGTCATGGGTTCTGCGTCAGAAGATCAATCTGAGAAGATGCAAGTCGACACTTTCCGACTTTCCCAGGCAGAACGCACTCGCAGAAAAGAGTTGAAATTATGCATGTACTGTGGGGCTAAGGGTCATTTTAGACTCACCTGTCCCATTCGACCAGGTCGGCTGACGGTAAGCTCCGTTCAAGACAGCTCCATTATATCAACACCCCTTACGATTCCTGTAATCCTGAAATCTCGAAATATCCATGTATCTGTAACAGCTATCATCGACTCTGGGTCAGCAGGGAACTTCATTTCAGGACAGCTCTGTAAAGAACTCAACCTCCGGAAGATTGACACTCCCAAGCCCTACTCCATCTACGCCGTAACAGGTGAGCAGATTAACAAAGGACATGTCACATCCCAGATAACACCCATCCAGTTATGGATTGAAAACGTACACCATGAAATGTTTGAACCTTTTGTTCTACAGAATAGTCAAACAGACATAATCCTAGGTCGCCCATGGTTAATTCGTCACCAACCCACCATAAATTGGCAGTCTGGTGAGATCACTAGATGGGGTTGTCAGTGCCCACTTAATGAAATTCCACATCCTAGCTCACCCTGTGCTCAACCACCCGAGGTTCTAAAAGTGAATTCCACATCCATCGAAAGTCCCACGGAAAACCTATCCACTAGTATTCCCTCCTGTTACTCCTCATTCTCTGACATTTTCAATCCAGTTACTGCCTCCAACTTACCTCCCCATCGGCCATGGGACTGTGCCATTGATCTGAAACCCGGAGCCTCCATTCCCAAGGGTCGAATTTATTCCCTGTCAATTCCCGAACAAGATTCCATGCGAAAGTACATCGAGGAAGCCTTGGAACAAGGTTACATCCGTCCTTCTACATCACCTGCTGCGGCTAGTTTCTTTTTTGTTCCCAAGAAAGGCGGGGGTTTAAGACCATGCATTGACTACAGAGCCCTAAACCAGATCACCGTGAAATTCAGTTATCCACTGCCCCTCATCCCATCAGCTCTGGAACAGCTCAGTGAAGCTAAAATTTTCACCAAGTTGGATTTAAGGAGTGCATACAATCTGGTCCGAATTAGGAAAGGGGATGAGTGGAAGACGGCTTTCATAACTCCTGCAGGGCATTATGAATATCTGGTGTTGCCGTATGGATTGGTAAACGCCCCTTCCGTCTTCCAGAGCTTCATGGATGAGGTACTCCGGGATTTCTTGGGAAAGTTCGTGGTGGTATATATCGACGATATTCTTATTTTTTCCAAAGACCTAGTTGAACATCGACATCATGTATCTCAGGTACTCCAAAGACTCCGAGAATTCACTCTGTTCCTAAAGGCTGAGAAGTGCTCTTTCCATCAAACCAGTGTCGAGTTCCTGGGATATCACCTCAGTGAGAACGGAGTGGAAATGAATAATCGGAAGACGGAGACCATCCTGTCCTGGCCTACTCCTCAGTCAGTTAAGGAACTTCAGAGATTCCTCGGTTTCGCAAATTTCTACCGACGATTTATACATCAATACAGCCTTTTGACAGCTCCCCTGACCTCCCTGCTAAAAGGAAAACCCAAGACACTTCTTTGGACCCCAGAAGCAGACAGAGCTTTTGAATCACTCAAGGCCGCATTCACCGTTGCACCATTACTCCATCATCCAGATACGGAAAAGGTATTTGTAGTAGAAGTGGACGCCTCCACTACAGGAGTAGGAGCGATTCTGTCCCAGTACTCTGATGATTCCTCCAAAACCATACCCTGTGCGTTCTTTTCTAGAAAGCTATCAACTGCAGAAAGCAATTACGACATTGGAAACCGGGAACTCTTGGCTGTGAAACTTGCCTTGGAGGAATGGAGGCATTGGCTAGAGGGGGCCAAACATCCGTTTCTAGTACTCACCGATCACAAGAACCTTCAGTATTTAAGAGATGCTAAGAGACTGAATCCACGTCAGGCTAGATGGGCACTGTTCTTCACTCGTTTTCATTTCACAATCTCATATCGACCAGGATCAAAGAACACTAGAGCAGATGCTTTTTCCCATATCCATGCCCCAGAAAGTCCAGTTGAAGAACCCGAAACCATCTTACCTGAAAGGTTATTTGTCAATCCAATCCATTGGGAAATCAATGAACAACTGCTAGAAAGGTCACAACAACAACCCAGAGTCCCAGGATCTCCCCCCGGCAAGATTTGTGTGCAAGATTAAAAAAGCGCTTTGGTGGCCATTGGGTCTGTGAAAGCACTATATAAATGCAGTCCATTTACCATTTACCATGAACACAGAAAATGCATTATCTGTACCCTATAACAATTAAAATATATATGAAATAGTATTTTATCAGTTTCATGTCATAAGTTTGAGATAGCCTACATCAACTCACAGAAGAGCAAGAACCGTGAGAAGAGTAGGAGAAACAGAGGGAAATGGAGAGCCGAGAAGAACGATCTCGCACATCCAGACCACAGCTGGTAAAACAGGAGAGCATTGACAAACGACCAAATTGTAAGTATATAATAAAGTTTTAATAGAATACAACAATTTACTTTATGCTATTTGCTTCTAGTTTGATATGATACATGTATTTTTTCTTCTCAAATAATTTTTTTTATTTTTATTTGTATATTATATTTTGTGTTGCAAAATATGACAGAGAGAGCAAATTATTCCCTTCTTATTTTCATGATCATCATGTAAGCAGATTGTACTGATTAGCCACGCTAATTTCCCATCATGCATCTCCCTGGACTGATTACACCATACACCTGCACTGCGCTGATTACACACACATACCTGCACCTCATGTTCAAACACTATTTAAGCCACACTCACACAACACTCTGGGCTAAGTCTTCCAAGCATTTTTCCATGTGTTTACCTGCCTGTTCCTGTATCCTGTTTGTTTGCTGCCTGCCCTGATATCCTGCCTGTTTATTGACCATGATTTTGCCTGATCTTCTCTGTTGAGTTTGCTGGTGTATGACCCTTGCCTGGTGACTACTCTGTTTAATAAAGACAAGCTGCACTTGGATCTGAATGACTCCTATGCTTCGTAAGTCACATTTTTCACTATATCTGATGATAAAAATGTGACTTAGCATAAAGTTATCAAAAATATCTGTCATAACATATAAACTATTCTACTGTTCCAGTTTCTCATGATTCTGGTGGTCCAGAGCAGTGTCAAACTGATATATCTGAAGAGGTCCATGATAAGGTGAGATATTTAGTGTTCAGAAAAAACTGACACGAAGAATGAACAGATAAAGTAGATTTTGTCTTTCTTTAATGATACAGACCACTGTGATGGAATCACATGTTCCCATGAATGTTTATGTTAAACTGTTTTTTTCCTTAGAAAACTACAACACAGTAAAGAACAAGAGAACGTGACAGTAGTGACGTCATCTACTCACAGAACTTGGAACTTCCTGGAAAGTTTATAATCTTACTCGCTGATAAACTCGTGTTGCAGCGATTCTAAAATACTTGCAATGCCTTCAAAGTGACATAGCCACAGAAAATGTTGAGATTCGTGGATTCCAGTCTTCCCTACTCCGTACATGGTAATTCACTGGACAGTTTTTACAGACATTCAGATCCTGCTTTTACAAACTACAGGATTTAGAAGTATGTTTAATGTGAAGCCCGTAAATCAGCTGTCTGAACCTGGAAGGATGATGTTACCGACTGTGCTGAAACTGTGAAGTCAACATCTCCAAACACACACCACTGAAACAGAAGACTGTGCTCTGAAGATCCTCTGCTGAACTCTTTTGGACTTTGTCCTGTGAGAGTACATGTGATGATTTGTAGTTTTATCTTCTGTTCATATTATTTTTCATCATTATATGATTATTACATAGTTTTGGTTCATTTAATTTTCTGAAATAGTTTTGAAGTCTGCTTAAAAATATATATAAATGTACTTTTACGTTTGTGATAACATTTGGGACTGATTTTGTGATGTTGATTCACAAATATAACTGGTCTGATCTGTTACCACACATAGGTGGAAGACTCTCCACAAACACTCCTATTAGAAATGCAAACATATTTGAGTCTGTCATATGCTATAGGCATATAACGGTCGGTAACACTTTACAATAATCTAATGCCTGAATTAATCATTACTTTAACATGAACATGATTAGTGGAGATATGAACTAATCATGAGGCAATGAAGAGCTATCCTTAACTACGACAGGAGTCATAATGATTCATGGATTAATAACAGCAGCCTTAACTACATGTTAGTACATGTTTAGTTAATGCATTAATTAACATTTAGGGGTAAACTATCAATCAGGCTCAGTAAGAAGGAATAAGTAATATTTTGACTTTAAAATAAATATAAACAATTTATTGTCAATTTAAACTATTTACATCTGCAGCTTCATCATAAACATTACTGAATGGCACAGTAACGTGGTGCGGTTGAAGCAGAGAAGAGGCTGGAAGAGGCTGGAAGAGGCTGGAAGAGTCCCCCCCCCCCCCCCCCTTAAGGTCGGCTCCTGACGCCCATTAAAACAACAAAAAATGCAGGAGGGCGGAGGAGCATGGGCAGTCTTGGGGGAGGGACAGAGGGCCAGGCCCGTGCAGGGGAACGGGACCAGGAGGTAGCCAAGGCGGGCCTGGTCCGCAGAGCGTGGGCGGACCAGACTGGGCCGGTGACCAGAGAGGACCAGACTGGGCCGGTGACCAGGGCGGAGCAGGATGAGGCGAAGGCCAGGGCGGAGCAGGACGAGGTGAAGGCCAGGGCGGAGCAGGACGAGGCGAAGGCCAGGGCGCAGCAGGACGAGGCGAAGGCCAGGGCGCAGCAGGACAAGGCGAGGTCCATGTCAGCGTCACCTCCATGGCCCTTACAGGGTACCTACTGCCACGGGAGGAACCTCCGTGGCTGTAAACGGGTTCAAGAGAAGCCTCCCGGAGCTTGAAGGGCACAGGTAAGGCGAGGCGCAGAGGCGGGGCCGGCAGGGTGAGGCGCAGAGGCGGGGCCGGCAGGGCGAGGCGCAGAGGCGGGGCCGGGAACGCCCTCCGGAGCCCGGCGAGGCAAACGAGCCCTCCTTCTCTTCCTTCTGCGACGGTGCGTCACTGGGCTTGATGCACTCACTTGGCTAGATTCGGACCTGGACGCACTTGACTCACTTGTTTCGGCACTTGACACACTTGACTCGGCGCTTGACTCACTTGACTCGGTACTTGACTCACTTGACTCGGCAGGCACGCGCTCAGCCTCAGTAGAAAACTCTTGAGGCAGGAATACAACGGAGCTCACGTGAAGTGTCAGAATGACGGGATTCACATGTTGCGTGGCCTCGGCTGGGCAGACGAGAAGCGCGGGCTCGGCTGGGCTGACGTGTAGCGCGGGCTCGGCTGGGCTGACGAGAAGCACGGGCTCGGCTGGGCAGACGAGAAGTGCAGGCTCGGCTGGGCTGACGTGTAGCGCGGGCTCGGCTGGGCTGACGTGTAGCGCGGGCTCGGCTGGGCTGACGAGAAGCACGGGCTCGGCTGGGCTGACGAGAAGCGCGGGCTCGGCTGGGCTGACGTGTAGCGCGGGCTCGGCTGGGCTGACGTGTAGCGCGGGCTCGGCTGGGCTGACGAGAAGCACGGGCTCGGCTGGGCAGACGAGAAGTGCGGGCTCGGCTGGGCTGACGTGTAGCGCGGGCTCGGCTGGGCTGACGTGTAGCGCGGGCTCGGCTGGGCTGACGAGAAGCACGGGCTCGGCTGGGCTGACGAGAAGTGCAGGCTCGGCTGGGCAGACGTGATGTGCAGGTTCACAAAGCTTCTTCTCCTTCACGCCCACAGTCAACAAAGAGCCGCTCCACAACAGGGCCAGGTCGATATACCACTCTAAAGACCCGTGCGGATCGGGTTCGGGCATCAGAGACCGGAGTGGTTCCGATAATCCCCCGCGGAAGAAGATCATCAAGCACTGGGTTCTCATTTGCGCGAGATGTGCCAGTTCAATGAAATCCGCGACGTACCGTTCTATGGAGCAATTAGGGACTTTAAGCAACGGCTGCGAATGGAACGGCAACGGCATTCTGGCGTTGTATTGCGCATGCGCAAATTTAACTGCTACTTCCTGACGTTCTACTGTAACCGTCAACTACGGGAGAACAGCTGATTTGCCGTAGTCGCTACAACGTGAGAGATTAGGTAAATAAAGGTTGTGTTTTATGGCATATGACATTGTAATTGCATCAGTTTATTAATGTACCACTAGTCTTTTGTATAATATATGTTAAAATGTTTTAAACGTAAGCTAATTGTAACGATTTTTTTCCGTTTGTATAAAGATATGTCTGCTGTTAGCAGTTTTGACCATGAACTAAGGTCACACTTTAGCTGAGTGTGGTGTAGGTATGTTGTATGGTGTATGGTTAGTTAATAATGAATTAAGTATGATATGCCCCCTCAAGTAAAATCATAACACGGTAATGCATTAACAAGCCATTAGATGTTTGTGTCTGGTTTGTTAATAATGAATTTAAGTAGGATGTGCCCCCAATATCTAGCTATAAAAAGGTGTACAGCAAGAGTTTGAGAAGTGTGTTGCACCTGCTGCCAATTATGTAACACCTGGCACTGTTGGCTTGATTGTCCTGTCTTGGATCTTGAAAAAATTATCTGCCTTCATAATAAATAAACCAAAAAAAAAAGTATACCTTCATGTGCTATCAGAAATGTTCTACTTCCCACTTCTGAAGTCATGATTATGAGCTTTGTTGTCAGAAAGAACTGGAATCATGGAGGACACCAGGTTTATCTGGGGGTTTTTATTGAGAAAATTTTGTTAAAGTAAAAACAATATTTAGCATCCCCTTCATTGACAACCATGTAAAATCCTCCAGCTGGACTGCCCATGATCTCCACCAGAGGGCACTCCTCCTGACTCCTTTTCTCTCCCATGATGAACTATATTGCCCATAATCCATTCCCCGTACTCACTAGGGTTTAATTTCTCCCACCTGTCGATCATTTGCTTGTCTCAATTTACCTTTTTAAGCTGTGTTTTCCATAGCTTTCTTTGCATAGTTCTTTGTGAATGTGACTGCTGCATTTCTGAGCGCCTATAGTTCTGTTTCAGTGTTCATGTTCTTGGTCTGTCTTCTTGGATTTTGCCCTATTTTGGATTATATTTGACCATTTACCTGTTTTTGACTAGGCTACTCTTATGGATTGTCCTAAATAAAGGCTGCACTTGGATAGCCCATAAAGTATTGGAGCAGTGACTCGTAACAGACTACACCAAGTATAGATCCAGCAGCCGATCTAGATCTATCATGGACCGAGTTGACCAAATACTGCATCGTTGGCAATGAAAAAGTCGAATGAGGAATACGTCCAGTCGTTTTGTGAGTTTTCATATCAGGTACCTTTTGATGAAATCAAACTGACAGACAGGCTACTCTTCATCAGCTCCAACAGTCATGGACCTTGGTTCACTCCTGTCCCGTCTACAAAGAATGCCCCTGGACATAGGAGGCTGATTTCCAGTGTGGGGGACCCACAACTGATGCCAGTGCGAGCGGCCAGCATCCCGAGTCCGGTGATCACTGCGATTCCAAGTTCAGTGGTCCCAAGTCCGGTGGTCTCAGAGCAACTTCTATCATCGATTGCGCTTTCTTAAAAAAAAAAAAAAACATTAAAATTTTTTTTTTTTTTTTTGCAAGGTTTGAAAGACTATGGGAGGCGATAAAATTCCAAATTGAATTAGGATAACAATCTGACTAAGCCAATTAACTTGTATTAAATGTATTATTTAATGTTCAAAATCCAAAACAACACAATTTTCATATAAAGACGCAACGCCATTGTTGCATGAGTCAGTCTAGATCTAGAAATAGCCTCTGCGTTTGTAATTAAAACTCTGCCCCATAAAGAAAGATCTATCACCAAGTCTCTAGTTAGATCCCACATGCAATATAACAATATACAAATATTTTTCAGATCACTAAAGCGATTATTTTTTATTTAATTATCTGAATTATTTTTTAAGTTTCAAAACATTCTTTTAACATTTTATAAAACAGATGTAAGCTGTTTTAACCCCTAATTTTACGAAGCAAATGTTAAAGTGGTGCAGCCCCGCAGCAATCCAGAACATTTTTAACATCTCTATTTAGTGATTGTGCTCACGGCTAGATACAGTATATAAGAGTTGGATGTGAATTTAGACTGCAGGTTCAACACTAGGGGGCGTTACACTCATACATACTGCACATACAGTACATTGGTGAAGCTCAACAGGCAAGGCAGTGTGTGTGGTGCAGTTGATCCTCATGATGTGGCCACAGAGCCATTATTCTAAAAAAAAAAAAATGTAGTGTTTTTTTTTCTTATATGTCAAAAGCAAACCATTTTCCAATGCATGTTTTAATAACTACAGTGTAAACTAAGAGATCATTAAGGCCCTATTTTGTATAAACATAGTCCAAATGTTTGTCTATTTAACTGTTGTACTTAATGGAGTTACAATTAATTTGTTGTCTAATACTCCTTTTTGTGTCCATTAGGTGAAAAAACTAAAAGTAAATCCAAGTCATACAACTAAGAGACCAAGTCAAATTACAAGTAAATGGTTTATTTTCAAACATTTCTCAAGTTATTCAAATGTGACCATGTCAAGTCACATGAACTCCGATCCTTCTCACTGGAAATTATTTTTATTGTGGGACTTTGCTTAATCTGTGCCTGGGAAACCAGCCCTCCTGGTTCATTTAAGGTCAAGGCATTTCAGGACATTCGTTGAGAGACAAGCACACATCAAACACAGACTTGTTTCTGGTTCTGCACAAGGCCTTTGAAAGCTCTTGATGGTTCTTTGGGCCACTCTCCTGTTCCTGCTGAACTGAGCCAGTATTTTACTACAACTGATATCAGCTCAGAAGGCACCGGAGCTCAGGTCCTGATGAGACACACAACTCTACAGATTATCATTTGACATTTTTAAAACCATACAGGTGCGTGAAAAGACATTACCAAGTTAGAAAGCTAACTCTTACCTTTTCAGGGTTGTGATTTCTTGATCACAGTGATTTATTATAGTTTTATTATTACACTTTAAATCATGTTCATTTCCATCCTTAGCTGAAGTACGATGTTAAAGAACACTTATCCAATTCTTAACATTCAGCAAGAACTTCAAGTCAACAATTTGTAGGTTGATTCCCTCAAAAACTGTAAATACAAAACATTGCTTTGTTTGTTTGAGGCTCCTGCCCCGCCCAACAACAGCAACAGCTCAACCAATGGGGTTAGTGGGGCGGGGCTATACGTTTTATTGAACATTAGCAGACAGGAGTGTTCGGGAAACCTGTTTGAAAGCAGTATTATTTTTGCAGTTCTGTTTGGTGACACTATAGTGGCACAGAAATTACACACTTCACCTTTAAGATAATGACCATCTGCTTTGAATGAGACATTTGCATCCACAATGAAAGCTTCAGCCAACAGTCTCAAGGGAGCAGTGTTCTGCTTCAATATTGGCACATTTCTCTGTTTTTAAGCAAGATTTATCATTACCCATGTGTGCTTGATTATGACACTGAACATCTATCATCTTCAATTTAGATATGTTTGTTATTCATTGTTTGTCTGATGCTAATACCTTCCTCGTTAACATTTAGAAATATGGCCTGAGAAAATTCTGTCAGCAGTTTACCCAACATTGTGTTGTTTGAAATATGTTGTTTGAGCGAGTAAGTGATGACAGCATTTTCATTTTTGGGTAAAATATTCCTTAAATAAAACCATAATTAGAACACTAACCTTGAGAAAAAGAGGTGTACTTAGTTGTATTGAATGTGCACTTGTAGTGCACTTCAAATCTTGAAGTAGGCCTATATTTTCCTGTTTCTGTAAGTGCACTTTGTAATAATGTCAAATTAACAATTTTACTTTGAAGTATACATTTTTAAATCATGTTATCATACTTCAAGTTATCATACTTCAAATTATTTAAATATTATATATTCTTTTGTTATGTTTTGGAGTACACTCATTTTTATGTGTTGACTGACACATTAAGGCAAAGTTCTTGATTATAATTTTAACTGTAGTTTGTTATTTGATATTATATTAAAAGTGAATTTATTTTTAATGTACTGAATTGCAACTTCATCATTAAAAATGTGTAATTACAAATATATTCAATTAAAATCATGACATACAAGTTTCAATGTACTTAATGTACTTCAACCCCTGGTTTCACAGACAAGGCTTTAGTAAATCTAAATTGCATGTTTGAGCTGTTTTACCTGAAAGCAACTTGATATCTTAAAATATGTCAGTCCCATTGTTTTGTCTCAAGATGCACGCCAGCTAAGGCATTTTTATAAAAGCTACTTAAATGTCCTACTGGCTTAATCTAAGCCCTGACTGTGAAGCCAGGCCCAAATGTACTTAATTCGTACTTGAGAAAGTAAGAAAGAAACTTAAGTCTTACTGGGTTATGTCTTAAGGTTAAAAAAGCACTCAAAAGTCAAACCACAATATAAATTTAAACCAGAACACATTTAATTGCAATGCGCCTAAGTGTCCAAAAACAGCATTCAATTCAGACTTAAGTCTATTATTTTAAAGTATATTTTCGACATAATAAGTACTCTTTTTAAAAATATGCTACTTCATTTTCACAAGGTTTATATATTACCAGTATGTTAGCGCATTTACATAGCATAGTCTTTCCAAAAGAAAAGAAAAAACCCCTGCACTTTCTTAGTTTCTTTTCAGGTGAAGAACTTAGCCACTGTGAACAACAAAGCCAAGCGTGCACGTTCACCAATCAGCTAAGCTCTGCACCCGCTCAGAATGACGTCACAAATGCAGGTATTTTGCTTTTTGAGTATAAACCCCCTAAGGAAGTTTCCCTTTCTCGTTCTGCCATGGCGGGAGCCCTTTTTTCAAATACCCTCCATTTTTGTCCATTTCCTCATGAACTGCTGGTAAGGCCATGGCAGTGTGGTAATCCCTGGCAATGTGATTTTTCACTACTGTCACAAATCCGCATGCCAGGAACCCACACAGCCACAACAAACCGGTAACCCCCACCATCCCACCCGACCCCTGCTTCTCCCACGCTTGGCTTAACTCTAGGTATTTCCCCAATTATCCACTACACCCAGATAAGAAACTTGATGCAATTTTCAGACTAAAAAGGAACAAAAGATAAGGCTTTTGAAATTAACAGTCAACATCACTTATTGCATATTGCTTTAAGATTAATTCATAGTGAGGTGAGAAAGAGATGTAAATCTGACTCTCATTACATTGCGGCAAAGATTCTTATCTCCAGTGGCTCTTGCAAAAATGTACTTTAGAAGGATGGTGGTAACACCATCCTGACATGGTATAAATAATAGTATTTACGTGGTATTTTGAGGTACTCCAAAGAATACCACAGTATTACCATGGGACATGTCCGCAAAAACATAGCTAATTTGTGGTGTAGCATTTTGAATCACAGCCATGAGGGCTGATCAACTGTCACAGTTTAGTATTTAACCCCTAATTTATGTATTGCCACCCAAGTAGAGCGAACATGATTACATAATTTTAAGAAATCATTACTCTCATGTGAAAGTTTTAAATGCCACTGAAAGAACCATTTTCTATAACGTCCTTCATTTGGCATTTTCCTCTGATATTTTGCATATCTCTAAATTAAGTACTTTGCTTTACACTATGTGGGGAAGGAAGTGTGAAGGGTTGGTGCCACATAACACAAGAGTGAATCAAACAGACTGCATCTAATTCTTTCAAAATAAAGTGCAGTCCAAAAGCCTCACAAACTCCAAAGAAGGACTGTAATTCTCCTGAATGTTCCTTGCCCGTCTGAAATATCCAGCGATCCCTGCCAGGAGGATAGTCGTGGAGTCTAGCACAGTTGTTAGGCTGCAAAACAAAGGAATATAAGCTAGAACTGAATGTTCAAATAATATAACACATACAGTTTTAGATAGTCAATATATTAGTATTCAGAAAAAATACTAATGAATCAAAATATTAATTCCTAAAATGTTTAGCTAAAATAGTTTCCCCTTGTGTTGATTCCCTTAAGAAATGGAACATATAAGAAAAGTGCACTGTAAAAGAGAAAGAAACAAGCAGCTTTTCCACAAGCTGAGGTAAATACTAATATATAGAAGGTGCACATAATGCATAAAAACATAAGACGGAACAACATTAAACCCTATACAGTATGTAACTGATTAAAAAAAAAAACGAAAGAGTTATTTTAATAAAAAAACACCAAATGTCAAGTGTCACGCAGAGAATTCTAGGAATGTCAATTTACAGATTTTCACTGTAAATGATAAGATTTCTTGTTCTTTTTCACTTCCAAAAAAACCCTGTAGATTACACATTGTCAAGTACAGTAAAATTACAGTACTGTCAAATTACATGAAATGCCTTATTAGATTTATTACAGTTTTTCACTTTATATAGGCCTACCGTTAACCAATTAACAGGTTTTTACTGTAGTATTTTTGTAGTGTTTTACCATAAACAAAACTAACTCAAGGGATAGTTTAATGTCTAAATCGGCAACATTTTTATCTTCAACCCCATTGCATATTCTGACAATTTTCATATAGCTGTATTAGAGCTGGGGAAAATGTTTATTGCTAAAAAGTGATATATCTCCAAATTTTTGAGTAGTATTTATTATATAATAGATCATACAATATTTTAGTTTGACCTCTTGAGGTGGACAACCAACATTTTCTGAAAGTTCAACTTTCTGAAACATCTTTTCTCATTTTCTAGTTTCCTTATTCTCGTTGCATGTAAGCTCTTTTATTCTTCAGCTCTTGACAGAAATGGGGTTAGTGTACTTCCTCTGTGTTGCTGTGAGTACAGTCCAGATTGTCTTTTTGAGGACATGACCTGTGGGCTTTGCTTGATAAGAATCTGTAATACTGTAATAATGTCATTATTGTGTCTGGACAGACCCTGATTACAGAGGCTAATCAAACGCTGCTTCCGTTCCACTTCGTGCAGCGTAATGTGGGTGTGGAGGGGCATGAGCGGAGAACGGCCTTCTGTCTTCAGCCAAATTGGGGGGATATTACATTACATGATGCATTGTGCATGCAGTTGTATCCTGCTCTCGCTATCATTATATTATTACTGATTATAGCTTTCATAGTAGCTTCATGACTTGATATACATGTAGATATACATAGAGGTGACTTCAGGCAGATTATGGGTATAAGAGTGAATCATTTTCTGAGTCATGCTCGCAAGTGATGTCACAATGCTACGGTGTTGTGGGTGGTTGCCAGGGCGTTGCTATGCAGTTACTAAGGTGTTGACGCAAGTCAAAAAAGAGTAATAAATCCCTCCCTCAATGGTCATCGAAGAGTTTTCCTCACCTGTACATTTGCCCACCAAGTAAAAACGTTTAGTCGTTTAGAAAAGTAATAGCAAGCAACATTTTGAGCACCAGTCCCAGCTGTGTTGAAACCGTTTTAACATTGGTTACTTTCTACCTCATATTTTCTTTAGCTGTGCAATGTGATGCAAGGAGATTGCTTGAGTGTGAGATGAATTATGAGCAATTGCAATACAGACAATTTTTACGGTTGTCAGTCATGAAATTCATGCCTGCCAATGTTAATTTTTTTTACATTTATCACAAGTTTCAACAGAAAGGTTTAGGGTCCTGGGGGAAAATGTTATTGCTCAAATGTTACTCAAGAGACATACAAGAGTTCACAGCAATGGCATCTCAACAATATCTAAACTTCTTTTGTTCAAATAAAAAACAGCAACAAATGAAACATTTGTTGACATACTACAAGATTATATTTGAGTTCATATCGAACTCTCGAAATCTTGCAGACTTTAGTATTTTATAATGTTTGAGCACAGTTTGAGACATTGATGAGATCATTGTTTTGTGATGGGGTGAACAAAATTACATATCACAATAGTTCAACCATTGCTTCAGAAGAATTGCAATATTGTGTCATATGAACTATACTTTTCTGATGTTTTTTAATTTTATGTGGTCAATGTGAACCATTATGTCAAAGTGCAGCATTAACATTCTTCAAAAATTCTCCTTTTGTGCATACGTAAAAATATAAACAATTACAGAAGGCTAATTTAAGGGTAAACAATTTATTTCTATTTCTGACCTATCTTTTGTTACTTATTTGACTTTGAACAGAAATCACTTGACACAGTGAGGCTCCATCCATGGTCTGATGTGTAGTCGTTCATACATGCTTTTGGATAAGAGAGAGACAAGCTGGGCCCCAAAACATGCCCCTCGTGACCTCCACATGTGATCCTTTGTCTCACTGCTGTTTTTCTGCCTTCAGCGGCCCTCACTACCCTCACTGGAGGTTTTTCTGATCATCTGTCCTGGGAATTAATGACTGCTAATGAACAAGGGGGGCTGAGGCCAAAGCAAAGTGGTAGAAAATGATCTGACAAATTACAGTTCCCGTCTCTCGGTACCTCCATTAACAGCGTGAACGTGCAGCCCATGCACTCTCTGAACAGAGAAACAACACTGATCCACCCCCATCAACACCACTAACAGCCCAGACCCCTCACTCAACCCCAGCCTAACCTTATCATGTGAGAGAGCTGAGATTACAGCACTTGGCCCCTCGTTCAAAGCAGAAAAACAGCATTGCCTCTCAGGCCACGAGTCAAGGGTGCGAGTTCAAATTAGAGAGCACTCTCGACATTTATGGTGGCACAGTATACCTTATTTTCACTAACACACTTTTTAATACTCTATTGTACTCTACAGACCAAATTACTCATTAGACGTTTTAAATCAGTTTGACTTAAGTAATGGTTTTATGTCCTTTAAGAGGCAGGTAAAGAATCTTTACCGCCACTGCTGTACGTTTTAAGTGTTGGTGGGATGCCGTCTTAATGGGTGCGATTGGCCTGGGCCTCGTCACCATCTGAACTCATATTACTAAAGTGAGAAAAGAAATGTTGTTCTCGAGCTGAAATTCATTAAAAATTTGTTAACACTTTGTTTTAAGATGACGTAGTTACACGTTACATGTACTTACTATAGTAAAAAAACAAAAACAAGGTAACACTTTATTTCACAGTGTCCTTGTTACATGTTACATCTACTTACCATATTAATAACAGTAAATTATGCATAATTACATGCAACTAACCCTCAACCACACCCTAACCCTAAGTACATGTATTTGCCTAATATTACTCAGTACTTATATATATAATTACACAGTAACAATGACACATAAAGTCTAACCAGAAACAGTCAATTATGCATAAGTAACTAACCCTAAACCAAACCCTAACCCTAACCGCAACTCTATAATAACCACATGTACTTAATTAATATTACTCAGTCAGTGCTTGTTTGAGTAAGTACAATGTTACTACGTCACCTTAAAATAAAGTGTAAGCAAACTTAAATTGTGATTTTGAGGTGTTGGTTGAGTGTAAAAAAAATAGGTGTGCTTAATTGTATTGAATGTGCACTTGTAGTGTACTTCACATTTTAAAAGGATGTTTAAAAAAAAATTACCAACAGATAATATAACACTATATTTAAGAGCAATGAAGTTTTCTTAAAGACATTTCTTTACACACACTTCTAAAAAGTGCACTTTGTAATAATGTCAAATTAAAAGGTTTACACAAAATTACATGAAACGATATGATAACCATTTGTACAGTAGATTCAACACTGGAATGTTAGATAATTACATATATATATATATATATATATATATATATATATATATATATATATATATATATATATATATATATATATATATATGTATATATATATATATATATATTATATTGATTATATAAAAAATATATCAAAATTTCAGACAACATTACAGGAAACATGAAGAATATGCAATAAAATCCCATTTTAAAATTAGAATTTCATTCAGGTTGTTCTTTCGTAGCTTAAAAGACGTTTCCAATCAACTTTGTCTCAGATGTTTCTCCTTAAAATTCCTTATGTGAACAGGGATTTGAGTTCACATTAGACTGCAGACTTTTGGTATTTTGAGCACATTTTGAAAGACAGTAAAGATCCCATTGGAATTCTTCAGGAGATTATACCAGATTTTTTTCCTCAGGAGAAAAATCTGAGAAAAAGTCTCAGTTTGCTCTCTAATTAATCTCATTGCTATCTATACATTGATTACAGATTGTAATTGTTCTTTCCATGGGATATAACTGAGTACTAGATTCTAGTACTAGAGTACTAGAACATCTGCATACATCGTAACAACAGGAATCCTTACCTTTTTACTGCTTCTTGAAGCTTCACTGGGATCAAAACAGAATGAACTGCATAACATGAGTCGAGTGGATTGTACGATCCAAAGGAGACTCCCCACTGTTTCCCCTGACTGGCTTCAACATCATCCCTTCATACCCCTCATTAAAGCTTCCCCCACTCCGGTTTCACCCAGACGGTCCAGCATCCAGCACTCTGTGTGTGTGTGTGTGTGTGTGTGTGTGGAGGAAACTGGCAGTAATCCTGTAAAAGTTCCTCAACTCTGAGCCTTACTGTAATCAAATGCGGCCGTTAGATGAGGGGCTCATAAAGGAGAACATGAGCTTTACTCATCGCTGCCTTTCCTGCCAGTCCCACCCTTTTGTCTGCTGGATGCCAAGCATTTCTTCTCTCTGCTACTCTGTGTTTCCCTCTCCGAAGGTTAGAGTTAGAGATTTAAACAAACCCTTAACCATAAGTATTAAATGTTGCTGTGCAACTTATACTGCACCATTTGTGAAATGGATATGAATGATACACCATGAGACTTGTAGTGGAGAGGTGTACGATTAAGAAATCCGATGGACTTACCTTGAAGAAAGGACCGAAACCATACCTGGAGACATGAATATCGTAGAGATTTAAGGTGAGCCCTTTTGACTTAGACCAGTAAGTAACCATTAATCAACACACTAGAAACCACTCAGAACCTCTTAGCAACAGCCTGGGAACCATCCAAAACACCTTAGCACCTTGGTGGTAAGTTTTGCACTGACAAACCACAGAATTTTCTTTATTGAAGTACACTTCCATAACATCAGTGCTCCGGAGTGTGACGAAAAACTAGCTTAACGCAGGAGCATGAAGCCTAATCATGTGTGTAATGCGTAACCTGAGCACTTTTGCCTTCACCGTCTCTTCTTATCCCTGCTTTTATGTAGTCATCCTGTGGATCTTAATCCTGTGCACAAAGTGTAATAAGACCTTTAGACACACAGTAATATCATATCCTGTTCACAGTCTCTTGTATTAGGAGAATACCCCAACAGAGGATTCATTACCACGTTGTGCCTCAGAGCACAGTTCATCACCTGAATACAGTTCAGTGGATCACAATAGAGTCAGTGTATGTTTTTTTCACCAAGAAATATTACAAAACTTGCTTTCACCGCGCCTCCATGATCATAGGGTGTTGATGATGGTTGCCAGGGTGTTGCTATGCTGTTGCTAGGGTGTTTAGGGTCGCTGTTGATTTTTACTAGCCAAGTCAAAAGACCCCACAGCCAAGTATCTATGATATTCTGGTCTCTAGATATGGCTAGATATGGAATTTTTTCACCCATTTTATCATCATAAAAGTCAAACAGGTTAGAAAAGTAATAACACACCTCCCCTCAACAGGGTGTAAAATCATTCACATTTGTATCATTATCATATATGTATACGGTATGCATCAAAGTATCATTCATATACAGTATGTGACAGGATGAGTTATGCAACAAAAATGTGCCTTAAATATCACGCAAATCCAAGTGGGTCAATAAAAAAATAAGAGTCCACAAGAAAAAGAAAAGAACAAATCTTTGACAAATGTTGTTTGACTCTTAAACGCATCCCTCGAGTCTTTATCGACCCGGAAGTCACCTCCCCCTCTTTCATTTTTTAAAGTTAGACATCAGCCTTCTTGGTATTCCTAAATCTATTTGTTATAATCAATATAACAAGAAAAAAATTATGAAAGAATGTCTGTTTTCTAATTGTTTTATTTTTGTAAATCGTGGATAGGGTCACTAGCGACCCGAGGTATGTAAAAGTGCAAGTATATTTTTTTGTGGAACAATAATTGATTCTCTAATGACTTAAATGTTAAATGTACAGTATGTCTGATGATGAAGTGATGTTTCACTCAGAATCACTGCAGGCATAAAACAAAAGATTACACAAGTATCATCAGCAAAACTTGAATTGGCTCAGCAATTTACTGCAGAGCAAGTACTGTGCGCAAATATTAGTGTCACTGTCACTCGATGATGGATCTGGGGAAGAAGCTGTCAGCGATCAAAATATTGATTTTGAAGATGTTGAAAATGATAGTTTTGAGAATATGTTTGAGATCATAAATATGAGTCAGATGCTGAATGTACTTGGGGAAATGAGCTCTGACGAGGACAGCGATGATGGTATAAAACATCTGCTCAAACTGAACCCTTCCCAGTTCCAAAAGGTAAAGGAATATACTTTATTTTATTATTTTGTCATTGTTATTAAAATATCAGGAGAGTTTTATACTATCGCAACAGAGATCCATCCGTATTAGATATAGATCCTGGCCTACATGCCCGAATATGTAATAATGATTGGTGAAACATTCATGCATTTAAGGGTTAAAATGCATGTGCCAAGTTATATTTAAATTCAAGGTTTTGAGAGGGAAAAAAACGATTTCTCTTACACCTTGAATAATGTCTCTGTACACATCTTAACCATTACAATAAGATAACAAGGTAAATAGTAGCCTTTACAAATTTATAAATGTCATCAGGTTTTTTGGGGGGAGTGTTGAAATTTTACAACCTGGCCTTATAAAAAAGTCAAATTATCTGGCATTATATTTGAGTTATTGACCATAACACAGTCGGAACAGCGGTCTTAAGAGTTCCTCCTTATAGTATCTTTTAAATGTTTTTTTTATTTTTTATTTATTTATCCTTTTTCTGCATGTTGGTTGGACTGCATTATTTGGTTGGTCACACCACATGACCAAATCACATTAAGGTATTTGGGAGTATTTATAACATTTTAACAAAAATGATTTAGCTACATTTTCCCCAGTAAATATTAATAAAATATTATGCCAAACTATCCAAGGTTTATCCAATGATCCTTTTTTCTTCATTAACTGTCCCAGAACAGTTGTATCACCCTGACGTTGCTGATGTTATGCCTCCCAAAAATATTAAAAGTAGATTTTCATTCATAAATGTAAAACATGTTGATAATAGAAAAGGTGTATTCAAGTGATTGTATAAATACATTTCATTTTGTATTTTTTTTAAATGTATACAGTAGCTCAAATATGTTCATCAAAATCACAGACACTTCTGGCTACGCAAGTTTAGTTTTAAGAATTGTTGCATAGTGAAATAATTGAAAGCAAAATTCATAAAGCACAATTCATAAACAGACATTTGAGGGTAACTCTATCGCCCCCTTAAGTACTGGGGTTTATTACCGCCACAGTGGTTAAAGGTGACCTATAATTCAAAATTGAATTTACCTTGGTATAGTCAAATAACAAGAGTTCAGTGCATGGACATGACATAGAGTGAATCTCAAACTGGACTGTTTTCGCGTTCTCATTTAATTCACGTTTATGAAAAACACCCCTGAAAAACGGTCGGTTCTCCACACAATACCGACTGTGACACAATAGTCGGGATCATTAATATGTACGCCTCCAAATATTTGCATAATGCCAGCCCTCAATGCCAGGCGGAACTGCGCAGCCGAAGCATGGCAGTTGCTCAGTGTGGATGTACACATGAACACAAAAGTAGTTTTTAGTTCCTTCATCTGAGCCTCTGAAGAAACAATGGGTTAATTTTATTTTCTCTGGAAATTTCCAAACATTTCACCGACTGTTTCCTCAACTTGGGGCGATACAGAGCTGGCCTCGGATCGAGCTACCAAGCAACACTTTCTGATGTGTAATTGTTCAAGTTCAGACAGGTAATCTTTCTCTCAAAATCGTTCAATACTGTTTATGCATAAGTAAGTCAAGCCAGTGACTAAAATATCAGCTTCACATCGTTTCTTTTAGTAGGATGAAAATAATCGTATTTAAATTGTGAACAAATTATATACAGAAAGCGATCAAAGAACAATCTTTCCACACAGCGCGAGTTTATCTGGACACTTGCCAAACTCGTTATGAAATCAATGACGCACGTTACTGCACAACGAAGCTCTTACTGTATTTACATCATCGTGTTTGCATTGGTGAAAGCATTAGAGAGAGAGCAGAAACTGCTTTGCAATGATAAGATCTTCATTCTCGCGATCAACACACTGTCATCTGCTCAATGCTCATCACGGCAACATTTTATGTGATGGGAATAGATCTAAATACTTTAAAAACATCTCACGATTCGTTAATCTCGATAGCTGTTATAGTAAAAACGTATAATAGCAGTAGTAAAAGTATTCGAGAGAGTTTCACATGTAATGCGTAGCTATTTCATATGCAAGCATGTCAGCCAATCACAGCAGTGGCCGCAGTTACACTGAATCCCACAGCAGACACGCCCCTTCAAACAGAGTGTTCAAATCAGAGGCTAAAAGCAGGCTAGGAAAAATGCCATTTATTTCTAAATTATGATTATTTTTTATCTAAAAAACAGACTAACATTATAAGGGTAACCCAGGAAACATTATAAAATAATTAAAAAAAAACATTCTAGGGCACCTTTAAAGGTTAAAGGTAGGGTAGGAAATTTTGGAATGGCTAGCATTAGCTAGCTAGCTTTGAAAGCATGATCCGACCCTCCCTTCAGCATCTCCAAAGCCACGCTTCCTTCAAAACACATGAACGAACACAGCAGTGTCTGCAAAGCGTCACGAGACGAGAGACAGAGTTAAATTATGTCTGAAAGCACATTACAATAATAATGAACGTAAACAACTTACAGAGCTCTAGTTGTACCATCTGACTTCTATTATTGATTGCTATCAGGATATAAAGAGAATCAGCCAGAATAACAAAAAGTGTTTATGAAAAAAATTTACCTACTTTTACCTTTAATTCAAGTGATTTTGTAATGGAACATAAGACCTATATGACTAATTTTATATTAGAAGGTAACTAAACACTGGTACTTACCATTCCTAAACAATTTGCATTAAATTTTTTTTAAAAATTAAGATTTAGAAATCCACAATGAATAAGGAAAACCTTGACCTAGTGACTTAATCAGACCAGTGAATGGAGAATGGGGCGCCTGACGCCTCCGTGTCGTCCTCTAAATTGGGCTTTATGAGTTTGCATTGTGCTGTTGTGCATTAATCTTACCCCACAACAATTCAATGAGCGATTTGTTGCTGTGTCCTATGTGACACAATGCGTCTTATTCACCACCCGCTCTCTGTGTGGGAAGTTCTGGCCAGCTCTCTCTCCCTCTCTAACGGTCTTGAGCGAGTACCAGGCAAATAGTTCCTTTCATTCTTTATAACAGTTGCATCAAACATTCATTGTTATTGCAGTTACATTTGGTGTACAAGATGTTTATCACACACAGATTTAATCTCCATTGTTTAGAGAGTCAAAGTTTGATGAGTAAACTCCAATGTCAGTGATTACAAACAAAGTCAGATTACAGTTGTTTATTTGCCACTGGAAT